TATTTATACATTGTATTATAATACTTTCAAGAAAGTAGATTAACCATATTCCTTACTAATATCCTGGCATAATAGGATACAATCTGTGCTCAGTGCTTAATGCAGTCAGTAGCTTAAAAGCTTTCTATGGCAATCTAGGTTTTTATCACTTTTCATTTACTTTAACCTTGAAGATGAATCATTTCATTCTGAAAATTGACTCCTCTTGGGAATGGAAGTGTATCAGTTATTTATGCTATATACAAGATGCTTTCACATAAACAACATTATACTTCTGCCTAAACCTGCCTCACATATTTCATATCATCTTTTTCTATTCCCTGTTCTAAGTACCACAGAATCCCTTATGACTCATTTCTACTCTTCTTTGCATTTAAGTCCTCCCTGTGCATCACTCCATTAAGTCTTAATTATCCAACTCTGTCCCTAAAATAACTGTAGATTAAATTATTTTGAAGCACATTTTTCTGATTCAATTTGTCTCATGAGAAAACCTCCACTGAGCTCTGTTGACAAAATTGGGCAGTGTAACTCAAAAGTTTTCCAATTCAAAGATCACAGTAGAAGCAAAACACAGACTCTTCAGCCATATGATGCTCTGAATGAGTCATTCTCTCAACAGTATTATATTGCTTGGAAACATAGTGTAAAAAAATTCTACCTACAACTGATCTATAATGTAGAAAACAGATGAATGATTATATTGAAGCCATAGCTAAACAAAGTATGTCATTTACTGTGAAACTTGTAAATCCTTCTTGTTATACTCTAATTATGAATATAACATGTCTCTTCTCTGCATCTTTCAAAAAGAAAACAGAGGAAATGTGTGCTATAGTATTTTAAAAATATAATAAGAATATAAATTGGATAAGTATAAAGGGGAAAAGAAGTGTAGATTTTGCTTTCACTCTGGCAAAAATGAACTTGGGCAAGATATTTTGATGTTTATTTAAAATATATTAGTATTTCCGTTAAGTAAAGGATGTATATTCCAATCAGTTGAATCAATCATTTTTAAAGTATAAAGAGAAATAATATTTTGTATTTGTATACATATCATGAATGTCCATACACACATATCAGTCTAGATCAGTGTCTACAACTATTTATCTATTTCTATACCCATAAGCATCATTCAATTTGAAATCCTCTGATTTCCAGCAATTACTGGGTTTTCCAGGCTTTTGTATATAAAAAGAAAACTGCCAATATTTCTAGCAAGGAATAGGAAGCTATTTTCAGAAAATAAGCCTGAGTCAGAGAAGAGCTACTGTATGTATGGCAACTCTAATAAGGGCTTTATATGTAATAGCTGAACAGAAATCCCTTAATGTGTTAGTATTTATTCCACATTACAGATGGGGAAATCAAAGCTCCGGGAGGTTATACAATGGTCTCAAGACTCAGAGCTTTATATGATTCGATTCACATCTTACTGCAAAAATCATACTTTTCTATTATACCAGTCTTCTTTTTGTTGACAAATATTGTATCCTATCACCACTAAAAGGAAAACACTTTTGAAAAAGTTATTTTTGTTGTATTTGGATAATCCATTGAGTTTTTTTAAAAATATGTGCAAATAAAATCATAAAGTTATTACTGATGGGTCTGTGATTGGTTCTTATAAATTCCTTGAAAATATCTATCAAAATACAAACGTGCCATATATAATTAGTATGGTTTGTGGCCACAAAATTACTAGAGAAGAATGTAGAGAAATTCTTAATTGGCAGTTACAAAAGACAATAGTTTTCCCTAATGTGATCTCCAATTAATTTAAGTTTTGTTTTGTTATATGGAATTTGAACAATTTACTTCACATTATGAAACAATCCAATGAAAACAGTCTTCTACCACACAAATATTATAACATTTTTAGGGCTTTTTTTGTGGTGGTGATGGGGTACCGGGATTGAACTCAGGGGCACTCAACCACTAAACCACATCCTCAGCCCAATTTTTTATTTTATTTAGAGACAGGATCTCACTGAGTTGCTTAGCACCAAGCTTTTGCTGAAGGCTGTCTTTGAACTTGCGATCCTTCTGCCTCAACCTCCCCAGCCACTAGGATTACAGGCATGCACCATGAATCTCCACTGAGGCTTCTTTTTTTGGTGCTGGGAATTGAACCTAAGACCTGGCATATGCTTTGCCACTGAGCCAACCCCCAAAATTTCAGTTTTTAATCTTCCATAGCTATTCATTTTGTACTCAGTTTTCTTATATAGTATTGTCTTGATTTTAATTATTTACATTCTTTCTAAAATCTGGCAGTTTTACATCAATAACATATATGATATATTCTTAATTACTAGTGTAGTAAATAGAGTGAAAGTTTAGCAAAACTTAAGAGCATTTTTTAAATCAGCAAAAAATTAGTTATTCCAAATAAACCAAATTTGTACCTCCATAATAGATTATAGTAGAACTGAATTAAGAATTCTTGGGGTTTTTGTACTGCTGAAACCCATTAGTTTCTACTTTTGTTCCTTGGATAGCTCACATAATTGAAAAGCACAAGTAAAACCTATAAATATGTTATTTCCAGACTTAGAAAAACATCTCTGAATCTTTCAATTGTATTGTTTCTACCTTATAAGTGATTTTGAAAGTTCTACAACAATACATGTATCATGTTTGTATCTATAATGTTCCTGAAGAGCTTATGTGTTGAAGATTTGGTCCCCAATGCAGCAATATAATTAAAGAGTGGGGTTCTTCGGAAGTAATTAGATCATGAGGGCTCTGATATCATCCATGGATTAATCTACTGAAGGATGGGTAATTTGATGGCATTGTTGGGAGATGGTGAGAACTGTAGATAGGGTGCAAAGTTGGAGGAAGTAGGTCACTAGGGGTTGTCCTTGATCTCCCTTATCTTCTACTTTGTGTTTCTCCTTCCCGCCCCTCACTTCCTGGCCCCCATGGAGTAAGTAGTTTTTCTTTTGCTCTTCCATGCCTTTTCCCCATGGTATTCTGCCTTACCTCAGTCCTAAAGCAATGGAGGCAGTCGAACATGGACTGAAACCTCTGAAATTATGAGCCAAAAAAAAATCTTTCCTTCTTAAAATTTTGTATGTCAGGTACTTTGATCATAATGACAAAAAGTTGATGAACACAACAAGCCAGGACAAGGTCTACACTGGTACCTCTCAGATATATTATTTCTGATTTTAACAGTATACTGCTAACATATAGTCTCCAAAAATTATTTAAAAGTATTATTTTGATCTTTAAAATTTAAAAGAATAAGTCAAACCAATTAAAATAAAAGCACAATTTTAGAAGCTATTTACAATTACTCATATTCATATGTACATTATGACTAAAATTTCATTAATGCTTATTCTAAAACTTTTCTAGAATTACATGCTGAAAGGTTGTATGTGTCACTGGTTAAAGAAATTATGACTAGTTGTTTTACTACTGCAACAAGAAAAATATATTGAAAAATATATGATAAGCATTAAAAGAAAATCAGAATAAAGAATTGAAATAAAAATATTTCATAAACATATTATAAATGGCAAAGAAAACAAGAGTTTTCAATTACTAGTTACCTAAAATTATTTTTAACAGAAAACGAATTTCAAATTGGTATTCAATAGAAATGTAGAAAAAGAGTAAAGTAATTATTATGGACCATATTTAGATCATGAAGTCATTTTTTGCATGTTTTTTTTTTCCTTTTTTATCTTACAACTTTTCTTTTTAAATATTTGCTTATAATGATGTTTGTCATAATCAGACAAAATGTAGATAAATGTATATTGGCAGCTGGGACCTGGGTATTTTTCTCTTTATGATTAGATCCACTCTATATGCACTTATTGATTTAAGAAGGAATAAGAAGACTCCTGGGACAGTGGTTTAGCTAGGTTCAAAATCTTGTTTCTGAGAAATGGGCCTAACAATTTAGAGGCTCTCACAATATCAGTCTTTTAGAAAAATTATATTAGTAAGTAAGAAGCATAAAAAGTCAAACAGAGAGCATAGAGAAAAGAAAACCATTCTTTCAAGAACACCCAGTTCTTATACCAAAACACCGCACTAGGGAATGTGTACACCAGAGGAAGAAAAGGCTGTGTTTTCTGACAGTTTACTTGATTAAACACTATAACAGGCAATTCAGCCACAATAAAAAGTAATCTGTCTTCGGTATCCCTGGCCCATCCATATCCATTAAGTTCTGGTGTTTTATGGAACAGCAGGGTGAATATAATTAACAATAATGCATTACATACCTCAGACTAGTTAGGAGAGAGAAATTTGAATGTACTCATCATAAAAAATTAAAATGCTTAGTGATGGATATGCTAATTATCCTAAGTCAATCATTGTCCAATGTATATGAGGAACAAAACATCAGATTGTAATTCATAAATATGCATATATAATGTGTAAATCACAATAAAAAGAAAAAAAATTAAAGTAAATTTAAAAGAACAGCCACAAAGTAGGGTCAGTGCCAGGGACAGTAATTATCTCCAGGAGGCAGTAACCACAGTATCTGCTGCACAGAAGAGCTACTCTACAGCCAAGGGGCCTGTGACTGTAATGCAACTGATGAATAAAGAAATATGTGAATTTATTCAACCTATAAGATATAACTTTTAAATATTTGAGGACTTCAAATTCCCCAAATATTGTTCAGGAGAGGAATTTTGCAAGGAATTTAAATTCTTACATGAGAAAATGGGAAGTTAAGACCCCCCAATGTCTTACATATGCTTGCAAAAAGAAAAAAAGAAAATAATTCCAGCACTGAGGTGAAAATTTCACAAGCTTTCTAAAAAATCTTTAAATTTGCTTTTAGTATTTCAAGATCCCATCCCTCCTAAATATGAAAATTGCTTTAATGCACTATTTCATAGTTTTCTGGTGCCTTGGTTTTCTGGGGGGGAAAAGTGATAAAAGAATATATTTCTCAAAAGCTATAAAGTTAAGTATGGTGTGTATATTTGTGTGTGTGTGTTTGCATGCACAATACATACAGGTCTTTCTAGCAGAATCTTCCACAAAAAGAGAAGAGATGTCTTCATCCACTCCTGCTTCATTCTTCGCTATACAAGTATATGCTCCAGTATCTTCATAGCGCACATTGCTTATGTGAACCTCACTGCCATTTGCTGAGAACAGAAGGCAAATGCAACTTGTAAACTACAATTTCAGTTTTGGTACAGTGCTTTCCGATTACACAGTCAAACAGTTCACTTAGCTTGTCCTAATTAAACTGTTTTCCTTCCTACTTCCATACTTTGGAAGCATGCCAAATTCTTCCAGAAGCATTTGAGAGTTTTGTAAACTGTGCTGTCATTCTATTACTAAGAGCCTAATAACTCTGTATCAAATGCACATGATTTATATTTTATATTTATATTTATATTTTATACCATTTCTTTGTCTGTATTGCATATCAAGTGATTCATACTGGTAACTATAATTTATTAATCTATTTAGAAATCACTTTTTTTCCCAAGCTTTTATAGAAACTTAACTAGCTGTGCTATTCATTTTCAAGAAAACACATATGAAAATACACTCAAAGGATATTGAGAATATGTGTGTGTACCATTGTCATTAAACAAACTTATTACTGAGTTCTTATTACATATCTGGAATTTTTAGGGCTTGAGGACACAAAGATTGTCTTTAAGAATTTCAGTCTCTTTCCAGAAATTTAGCTAAAATACAGTATTAGATGGAAGTTGATAGAATCAATGTAAGACCAAAGATTTAAGGAAATGACTAACACAACTTTCAAATATTGAGGAGATAATATTTTAAGTTAAACCTTGAATAATAAGCTATATTCCCCAATGTAGAAACAAGGGGCTAATTAATAATTTACAATATACTGGCAGTAGGCAAATAAAGTCTCTGAGCTTCATAGAATGGATCATCAACTCTGAGGACGAGGACTGGACACTTGTTCCATCTGCCTCTAAAACTCTTTGTTTATTGTCCTCATTTGTTGAGGCTTCCTTCCTTCCTGTCCCCTCTGCTCCTCTCCCTACTTCTCTCTTCCCTCCCTCCTTTCCTTTATCTTTTCATGTACACGTCTGTGTGCATAGCTCTGCGTGTTTTGTGCATGTGTGTTCCATGTTATCCAATCACAAGAATATGATGGGTGGTAGAATGGAACATGGTTTCTTATGGTGCTTTGTTTGTTTGGGGTACTGGGTATCGGACCCAGGGCATATAACCAAAGAGCTACATCCCTGGTCCTTTTTTATTTTTTTTTATTTTGAGACAGGATATCATTAAATTGCTGGGAGTCTCCCTATGTTGCTGAGGCTGACATCAAACTTGCAACCCTCCTGCCTCATCCTCCCAAGTAGCTAACAGGACTATAGCTATGTGCCACTGCATCTGTCTGGAACAGGACTGTTTTTGACAGAAAGAGGACAATACCATTAGTGCATCTAAGTTTGGGAAAAGAAGAATAGATAACCAATGGCAAAAACTTGAATGCCATTCCTAGGAGTTAGTGGTTCTGAATGGATGTGAATAAAATACGGAGAGGGACTGAATGCTTGGGGAATAGTAATCATTTGAATAAATTTAAACTTTTTCTTTACTTAGAAATGATTACTGCATACCCTCTTTTCCCCAATCTTTTTTGAGAAACACTACTTCAAAACAAAGATTGGCAGGTTTTTGTTTTGTTCTGCTGAAAAAAGCCAGATAGTAAATTTTTTAGGCTTTGTGGGCCATACAGTTTCTGTGTCAATGAGTCACCTCTGACATAGCAGTATAAAAGCCGTTGCCATACACAATATTTTTTAAAGAAATAAATGCAGCTATATTCTAAAAATAAATAAAATAAACTCAACGTTTTATCTACAAAAATTGACAGCTATCTTACTTTGGTATATGGACCTTGGATTACAAACCCTGCTTCTAAATATTAGAGAATTAATAGTACATTGAAACCTGAGTCAACCTCTTGTTTTACATGAAATATGGCTCCCTCCAAAAATCATACCTTTATTTTGAAGACTTACATCTAAAATCTCTAGATTTTCATCACAAGTTCAACTGAATTTGTTCATTCTTTAAATTTTCTTTCCCAATAATCTTATATATCTTCCAAACATGCATTCCTGGAGGTTTTTCATTCTATTACCACAACTATCAATTTCTTTGTCTATTTATCATCCTAACACGTCTGATTACTACCTTCTAGAACTAGAATATGCAAACCTATCCTGGCACTACCATGAAGTCCCTGTACTTGGTTCTGGGAGTAAATTACATTTCTATTCTTTAAGTAAGTTTATAAATTTTCAAATTCAGTTTTCAGTTTGCTGGATATTCAGTACTACTTGAAATCCATTTTACTTAACATTTATAACTAGATATTAACTTAGATATTTTATCTTTTCATATCCTACTATGCTGTTACTTTAGATGGTTACTCTCTTATGTTTTCTTATTGTAATAAATATTGTTTGTTTGTTTGTTTTCACGGAAAATTTTCCAGCCTTTCTCATTGATTCCAAGGCTCTTTCTATAATCTTTGTCTCACTTGTTTCTCTCTACTGACACTTGCCTCAGATATTATCCATTAGTCCTAACTTTTCCCACAAGCAGCTACTTGTTTTCTTACTTTCAAAATCTGGAAGGACATTTTTTTATTGTTTCAGCCTTTACATTGAAGACTGATTGCTACTGAGATATAAAGACAAGCTTAACAGATAAACACATGTTAATGACCTTATGTAACCTTCCTATGTGTCCTGACATTGTTAAGCTCTTTCCCACTTTTAACTTTCTCTTCTTTTCTTCTTTAGTATCTATCACTTGGTCTCCTGAATCTGCTGACTTTTTACTCTCTTTGTTCTATTTATTCTAATCTGTTCAGGATTAATATTTGTGTTGTTTTGAAATTTTACTTCCTCTTATTCACATATTATCCCATACATTACCACAATTATTCAATTACTGCCTAGACTTAAACTTCACACACAAAGACTAAAGAAACACATGATGAACAATTGGAAAATTATATAATCACAGTATCTAACATAGTGGGACACTATAGTATCCATAGTATGTGCACAGATTTTTCTCTTGGGTTGTCCTTCCTACTTTTTAATTTTTTTCTTATTATTCTTTCAAAATTTTATCCATTTTCTTATGTATTTAAAATTAATAAACTATTTTGTAAGAACCTCCAACTATGTCTTCCCACTACTCTGGAAACAAAATATATGTTTGTAAGTACAGTTTACTGTTATTAAGTGGGTCAGAGATGACAAAATCAGAAACTACTTAGACTTTGTTAGTTTATATTAATCAAATTAATCTAATCTCTATGTTATAAACACTGAGATATAAGCAGTAATTTATGTGTATAAATTTGTTAGATCTAAGTTTATCAGTATATCGATTTCTAGGATTCATGTTTAGAAAGTTGAATGATACTTTAACAGACTCATTAATATTGACTTGCAAAAATAAGTAAGAGTTTGAGAAAGCTTTATTTTAAAAGGTTTACTAATTGAAGTTCTTCACTAACAAAGTAGAATAATAATAGAAACATCTGCTTATATAAATAATAAAAAATACAATTTGTACTAACGGCAATTGAAGAAGTTTAAAGGCATGAAATAAGGAATATAATGCCTATGAAATCTGTATTTAAATGAAGTGACTATTGTGCTACATCTAACAATGAAAGTTGGATTTAAACTTTCCTTTATGCTACTATAATTAATAAATAATATGAAATTACTTTGACACATTTGACCTTTAAAACAATTTATTTTCTATTTTCCATTTATGAAATGTGGATTTGTGATCGTTTGTAATCTATATAATAATGTTTAATCATATATATATTTCAAAATAATAAAATTAGCATAATATTTTGTTTAGAATGGAATAAATTAATAATTAATTCAATGTAAATGTGAAATACATTTAGTAACATGAATTATTTTGTTTACAAAATATGCTAGATAAAAAATATGCTAGAAAATCTTCACTAAAGATATCAAGATTTTTAAAACCATCTATCAATATGTATTTTAATCTATTACTCGAGCATAGAAAAAGTAACTTCCAAATATTTCTATGAAGAGTTCCATTTATTTTGTTCAGCATATATGCTATAATTCAAAAGTATTTAAAAGATATGTAATTTAATACATTACTTATCAACAAAAGGATAGCATAATTAATCATTATGACAAGACTATTATTTAAACCATAAAAAATATTAAAGGGCTCTTTCAAATATGTCTAATTATAACCGTTATTTCAGATCCATTACATTCTATTGCCATAGATACTCTATTGTCATATTTTCTTTTCTTCTCAAATAATATAAAATGTGTTAACATTTTAGTATAAAACTTCTGCATGATAATTTAAGAGAGTGAAGGAAAGCAAGGAAAAGGTACCTTGAAGAGTGAGTTGTTTGGACAGCTTTGGTGTAATATCTATTCCATTCTTCAGCCATCCAAGCTGAGGATTTGGGATGCCCTCTGCATGGCACCTAAGACTTGCAGTTACACCAGGTTCCCTAGCCTGACTTTCTGGATATACTCGAATGACTGGAGGAACTAAAAAAAGTAAAAAAAAGTGAATTAGACAGATATATATCAGTTGATATTCCAAAACAAATAAATAAAACTTGCAATATGAGAAATTATAAACTGTATATTTTAATGATTTGCACATCTATATAACATCTTAATTTACAAATACCATTATCCACTAATTATCCACTAAAATATTTCCAAGAAAATAAGTAATTCTGGGACTGTGTTTGGATTATTGCAATATGAATCTAGTAACTTGTTTCAAAAAGGAAAAAAGTTCACAAAGAACAAACTACACATATCAAAAGTTCACAGGAAAAAAATCAAAGAGCTTTCCATTTTCCAAATATGGAACAATTTTAACATTAAAATAATAAATTGTCATAAAGGACTATAAGGAATTAAATCTCAATGAATTGAAGTATCTAAATAAATAAATACATAATGAGAGAGAAAGGAAAGCATTTTCTCACTAAATCATATTTAGATTGAGATAATAGTTCCATTTGCATTTGAATACAAAACATAAACATTTAGAATTTTTTTTCTTTCAGTTTTAGAGGTTATGCTTTCAATTTTTCTCCATTTAGAATGATGTTGGCCTTTGGTTTAAGGTCTACCGCTTTTACAATGTTAAGGTATGTTCTACTATGCCTGTTTTTCTAGTGTCTTGAACATAAATGAGTGCTGCATTTTGTCAAGCACTGTATTTTGTCATGGAATTCTTCTCAATATAATTCTTAATTATATTGATGTGGTGAATTACATTTATTAATTTCCATATGTTGAACCAAACTTGCACCCTTGGGTGAACACCACTTGATCATGGTGCACTATCCTCTTAACACAATTTTGTACACGATTTCCCTGAATATTGCTGAGAATGTTTGTATCTACACTCATTGGGGATATTGGTCTGAAGTTTTCTTTCCTTGTTATATCTTTGTCTGATTTCAGTATCAGGTTGATCCTAGCTTCATGGAATGAGTTTGGAAGTGTTCCCTCTCTTTATTTTTCATGGCGTACTTTGAAGAGAATCTGACTGGACCTGGGCTTTTCTTTGCTGGTAGGGCTTTTATGGAATCTTCAGTTTCTTTTCTGAAAACTTATCTATGTCCTCCTGATTCAATTTAGGTAGGTCAGATATCTCTAGAAATTTATTGTTGTCCTCCAAACTTTCTATTTTAGGAGCATGAATTTTCAAAATAGCTTCTGATTATCATCTGTATTTCAGTAGGGTCCATGGTAATATTTCCTTTTCATTACATGTGATTAGCTTACAAAAGGGTTTATCAACTTTATTTATTTTTTCAAAGAATCAACTTTTTGTTTTGCTGCTTTTTTGCATTCGTTTGCTTTTGTTTCAATTTCATTGATTTTGGCTCTGATTTTAATTATTTCCTACCTTCTACTGCTTTTGTTGTTGATTTGTTATTCTTTTTCTAGGGCTTTCAGCTATAATGTTAGGTTGTTTATTTTGTAGCTTTCTATTCTTCTAATGAATGAGCTCAATGCAATGAACTTTTCTCTAAGGACTGCCTTCAAAGTGTCCCAGAGATTTTGATATGTTGTGTTGCTATTCTCATTTACCTCTATTTTTTTTTAATTTAATTGATTTTTTCTGATACTCATTGGTCATTCAATGGCATATTATTTAGTCTCCAGGTATTAAAGTAGTTTCTATCCTTATTTTATTGTTTTCTAATTTCATTCCATTATGATCTGATAGAATTCAAGGTATTATCTCTATTTTTGTATTTGTAAGAGTTGCTTTATGACATAAGTTATGATCTATTTTAGGGAAGAATTCATGTGGTGCTGAGAAGAAAGTATACTCAGTCATTGATGGATGAAATATTCTAAATAAGTCCAACATAGTCCTTGAACTTCTAGCAAGAACAATTAGGAAAAGAAAGAAATTAAAGGGATCTGAATAGGAAAAGAAGAGTTTAAACTATCCCTATGCAGACAACATGATTTTATATTTAGAAGACAAAACAAACAAACAAACAAACAAACACTCCACCAGAAAACATCTAAAAGTAGCAGGATATAAAATTAACACTCATAAATCAAATGTGTTTCTATACATCAATGATGAATCCACTGAAAGAGCAATTAAGGAAACTTTTCCATTCACAATAGTCTAAAAAAATAAATAATAAAGTCTAACAGAAATAATAAAATCTAACAAAAGAGATGAAAGCCCTCTACAATGAAAACTATGAACTCTAAAGAAAGAAATTCAAAAAGATCTTAGAAGATGGAAAGATCTCTCATGCTCTTGAATAGGCAGAATTAATATTGTCAAGATGACCATACTATGACATTCTTCATAGAAATAGAAAAGGCAGTCATGAAATTCATTTGGAAAAAATAAGAGGCCCAAAATAGCCAAAACAATCTTTAGTGAGAAAAGTGAAACAGAAGGCCTCACAAAAACAGATCTTAAACTAAACTGTTTTTGTTTTAGAGAAACAAAAACAGCATAGTATTGCCACCAAATCAAACATGGAGACCAATGGAACAGAATAGAGGACACAGAGACAAACACACATAAATATAGTTATCTCACACTAGACACAGGGCCATAAACATTTATTGGAGAAAAGATAGCATCTTCAACAAGTGGTTTGGGGAAAACGGTAAATCTATATGTAGTAAAATGAAATTTAATCTCTATCTTTCACCTTGCACAAAACTCAACTCAAAGTACCTAGGTATTAGAACAGACATACTGTGCCTACTAGAAGAAAATGTAGGCAAAACTTTCCATCATGATGACTTAAGTACTGACTTCCTCAACAAAAATCCCAAAGCACAAGAAGTAAAATCAAGAATCAGTAGATAGAATGGTACCAAATTAAAAAGGTTCTTTATATCAAAGTAATCTATAAAATATATGAAGAGAAAACCTACAGAATGGGAGAAAATCTTTGTCACTTGCACCACAGATAGAGCATAAATCTCCAGGATATATAAAGAACTCAAAAAACTTAATACCAAAACAAACAAACAAAAAACCAAAATAACCCAATCATTCAATGGGCAAAGGAATTGAGCAGGCACTTCACAGAAGAAATACAAATGGTCAACAAATGTATGAAACAATGTTCAACATCTCTAGCAATTAGAGAAATGCAAATTAAAACTACACTGAAATTCCATCTCACTTCAGTCAGAATGGCAATTATCATGAATACAAGTAACAATAAAATTTGCAAGGGTGTGGGGGAAAAGGTACACTCATACATTGCTGGTAGAACCTCAAATTGGTTCAAGCACTCTGGAAAGAAGTATGGACACTCCTCAGAAAACTTGGAATGGAACCATCATTTGACCTAGTTATCTCACTCTTCACTGTATACCCAAAGGACTTAAAATGAGCATACTACAGTGACACAGCCACATCAATGTTCATAGCAGCTCAATTCACAATAGCTAAGCTATGAAATCAACACAGGTGCCATTTAACAAATGAATGGATAAAGAAAATGTGGTATATTTACACAGCAGATATATCTTAGCCATTGGTAAATAGATGGAGCTGGAGACTATCATGCTAAGTAAAATAAGCAATCCCCCAAAACTAAAGGTAAAATGTTCTCTCTGACATGCAGATGCTAACACACAACAAGAATGAGGGAGATTAGAAATTCTGTGGATTAGACAAATGTGAATGAGGAAAGGAAGGGAAAGATACAAATAGCAAAGATAGCAGAATGAATCGGACATAACTTTCCTATGTTCATATAAGAATACAACACCAGTGAAACTCCACTTCATGTCCAACCACAAGAATGGGATCCTAATTAGAATAAGTTATACTCCATGTAATGTATAATATGTCAAAATACATTCCACTGTCATGTATATGTAAAAAGAAAAAAAAGGAAAGAAAAGGAATAATATTCTGCCAAAAAAGTAATGAGTTTTATAATAAACACTACAAAACAATATTGAAAGGATTTAAAGAAAAAATTAAATATATTTACACACATCTTGTGTTGGTGAATAGAAATAATCAGTTAGTATGCTAGTAGTACTCCCAAATTAATCCACAGATACAATGTAGCCTCATTAAATTTTTTGTTTCTTTTATTTTTCTAGGTACTAGAGATTAAAGTTCGGGCACTCAACCACTGAGCCACCTCCCCAGCCCTAATTTGTATTTTATTTAGAGACAGGGTCTCCCTGAGTTGCTTAATGCCTTGCTTTTGCTGAGGCTGATTTTGAACTCACAATCCTCCTGCCAGAGCCTCCTGAGCTGCTGGGATTACAGACATACATCACCACAGCCAGCATAAAATTTTAACTGATTTTGTTTTTAAGAAAAGAAAGAAATAGCTATACTGTGGAAACAATCTAGATGCCCTTCAATAGATTAATGGATTAAAAAAATGGTGGCATATATACACAATAGAATATTACTCAGCAAAATAAAAGAGAATAAAATTATGGCATTTGCAGGTAAATGGATGGTGTTAGAGAAAATAATGCTAAGTGAAGTGAGCCAATCCCCCAAAACCAAATGCTGAATGTTTTCTCTGATATAAGGAGGCTGATTCATGGTGGGGTAGAGAAGGGGAGCAGGGGAGGAACTCTAGATAAGGCCAGGTGGGAGGGGAATGAAGGTGGTATGGGGTTAGAAATGATGGAAGAATGTGATGGACATTATTATCCAAAGTACATGTATAAAGACATGAATTGGTGTGAATATACTTTGTATACAAACAGAGATATGAAAAATTGGGCTCTATATGTGAAATAAGAATTGTAATGCATTCCGCTGTCATAAATAATTTAAAAATATATTAAAAATAAAGAAAAGGAAGAGCTAATTCTCAAATTCAAATGGAATACAAACAAATACAAAGATACTCAAATGATTTAAAAAAAAAAAACTTCCTAAGAAAAAGAAAAAAAACTGGAGGACTTGATTTCAAAACTTAACAAAAAGCTACAATAATCAAAAAAGTGTGACACTGCCATGAGGATAAATATACAGAACAATTGTATAG